AGCGCAAATAAGTTACAAACCAAAAGTGTGTCTCCCCAAAAACCCCGATATCTCCCTTTAAAACCCCCACGATAAATAAATTATAATAATTTTAATAAGAATTGCCCTTTAAAAACCAAGGACGTTCTTTCCAAATTTAGCTTTAAGGGAAAAAACCGCAAGTAATATTTAAAGAAAGGTTAAATTTTGGGGCACGGGCTTTGGGTGATCGTGTTGGGCTTTTGTGTCTGGCTGTTGTGTGGGGGTACTGGTTGCTGATATGTGTCTTGATACTGGCTGGTATCGTGTCTGGGGATACTGTGCTGGCTGATCTGGTCTTGTGATACTGTGTCTGGCGATACGGGTTTTGGCTATACTGTGTCTGGCTGATACTGTGTTTGGGTGATACTGGTCTGGGTGATACTGTTTCTGGGTGATACTGGGCTGGCTGATATGTTCTGGCTGATACTGTGTTGGTGAATGTGCTGGCATATGTGTCTGGGTCTTTTGGGTGTTACTTTTTGGTGTGGTTGAAACTGTGGCTGACACTTGCGATACTGGTTGACACTTGGCGATACTTTTCTGGCTGATACTGTGTCCCCGGGAACTGTTTTGGCTGAACTTGGGTGATTATTTTGTTGGTGAAATTTGGGGGGCTGAACTTTTGGTGAAAAATGTGGGAAAGGGTGATCTGTCTGGGTGAAATTTGGGTTTAAACTGTGGTCCCTTTGGGTGAATTTCGAAATGATACTGTGTTTGGGGGGTGACATAGGAATTTTCTGTGTGTGGTTTAATTTTGGCTGACATATGCTGAATTTGGGCGAAATTTGGTGGAAACTTTTTGCGGGTGCACTATGATGATATGTTTGGTTGACACTTTCACTTTGTGGTTTAAAATTTTTGGTGACACTATGGCTAAACGTGTTGGCTGACACTATGGTGAAAAATGTGTTGCTGCCCTAGGGGTGTACTGTTCTGGTTTACACTGGCCATGTTGTGTCTGAAATGGTGTCTGGTGTTTGGGTGAAACGGTCTGGCTGAACTATGGCTGAAACGTGTCTCTACACTATTCTGAAGTGCTGGTTTTACAATGGTGAAAATGTTTCTGCCCGAACTATGGGCTTTTTAAACTGTGCTGGCTGACACTATGGCTGAAACTGTGTCTGGGTAACTATGGTGAAAACTGTGTCTGGCTGCACTATGGCTGAAAATGTGTTGGTGAAAAGTAAACTTTTGCGACCATAGCTGTGGGTGAATACTGTTGTTTGGGTGAAAACGGTGTTTGGTTGACACTTTACTGTGTTGGGTTGTGGCTAAAAAGTGTTTTTTGGCCCGACAACTTTTAATGGCTGGATATGGGTGTTTTTGGGTTGGCATGTTCTGATGTAGCGGCTGAACTGTGTGTGTGATGTAGCTGGTTTCATTTTTGTGGTGAATTGCTGGTGACATTTTGGTGAAATTTTTTGGTTGAAAATTTTTTACTGTGGCTGAATTTTTGGGATGAGGGGTGATTATGGGGTGTGGACTGAAAATTTAGTTGTGGGTGGTGAATTGGGGGTGATACTTTTTGCTGTTTTAACGTGTTGTGGGCTGGTTGGGTAAAAACTGTGGTTGTTACTTTTTTACTGTGTGGCTTGATATGGGGGGCTGTGTAGCTGTGGCTGATTAGGGTGGTGATACGTGTTTATCTGTGGTGGCTGTGTAGCTGTGGGTTATACTGGGGCTGATATAGCTTTTGGGATACTGTGTCGATGAGCTTGGTTTATACTGTGTCTGTTTAAACTGTGGGTACTGTGTGGCTGATGTACGTGGCGATCTGTGTATAGCGATGAACTGTGGCGATAGTGTGTGGCTTGTACTGTATGATACGTGTGTGGTTAATTTAAGCGTGGCTGATACTGTGGCTGATGTAGCGGGCTTTTCTTTGGGGATTAGCTGGGCTTATACTGTGTGTGATGTATGGGGTGTCTGTGGGCTGATGTGCGTGGTGATACTGTGTGGGGTTTTTAGCTGTGGCCCGATGAGTGTGGCTGATGATCGTGTAGCTGTGGCTGATACTGTGTCTGATGTGCTGTGGTAATGCTGTGTCTGATGTAGCTTGGTAAGCTGGTCTGATGTGCTTGGCTAATGATGTGTCTGTGAGCTGGGGCTGTTACTGTTCTGATGTAGTGTGGCTGTTAGTGTCTTGATTTTAGTGTGGTGATTCTGTGTCGATGTAGCTGTGGCTGTTACTGTGTCTGATGTAGCTGGGCTGTTACTGTGTTAGCAGCTGTGGCTGAACTGTGTCGAGTGCGTGGCTAATGCTGTGTCTGATGTAGTGTGGCTAAGCTGGCTGATGTAGCTGTGGCTTAAAGAGTGTCTGAAGTACGTGGTGAATGGTTTTTTTTTTTTAGTGGTCGTTACTGCTGAAGTACTGTGGGTAGGGCGGGTTCTTGGTATGTAGCTTGGTGTGCGTCGTTTGGGTGGGGTATCTGATGGGTACAAAATTTGGGGCGTGTTTTCCCTTTGGGCCATTTGTTTTCCCTTGGTTATTTGATTTTTCCCCTCTGGGAAAAATTTTTTTAAAACTAAACTAAAAGATTTGTTTGATTTTTTGGCGGTAAACAAGGGCGTAGAATTTTTATTCTGTTGTTTACAAAATCGTAGAAATTTCAGGCACCATGATTTTTTTAAATATATTTGTGTTAAATTTCATGCAGTCGGTCGTTTTTTATCAAAAAGCAAGGGGCGGGCAGAGTTTTTCGGCCCATAAATTAAAAAAAGGGCTGTCTCGAGGGGGTTTAAAATTTTTGGGAAGTGAGCTTGCCGTTTTTTGGGAAAAATGTCTCTTTTATTTTTTAAAATCTTCATACCAGTGCGAAAACGTAATTTGCCACTTTTTTTGTCGATAAATTTTTTGTGAGGGGGAAAATATCTTAAGATTTTTAGTTTTTAAATTAAAAACCCCAAAATATCTTACACAGTTCATTATATCACTCTACGTAAATTGACTTGCTTTATTTCCATAACTGCAGATTATTTTTTGCTTTTTTAATTTATTTTATAGGGGCCCCAAAAATGCACAGTCTTAAAGGGGGAATTTTAAGAGCATTTGGGTGGGAAGTTAGAGTAAATTTGTTAGCCCGTTTAAAAACGACAGTTACTTAACGTTTGGAAAAAAGTTCTAAACCCAGAACAGGGGTGGTTTAATCCCGGCAAGTAAATATAAACTTCAGGCCGTGCATAAGCCCCTGGGCCTAGTTTGTTCATCAGTTTTGATTTCAAGGGGAACAAGTTATACATTAGGAAAGAAACTTTCATCGCTACTACTTGCCCACTTTAGAACAAATGTCTTCTTGGCCACCAAAAACCAGACTTTGTGTGTGTGTTCCAAAAGATGAAAAACACATAGCAGCCAGGTTTGGGACACTGCAGGAGAGGGGGAGTGTTGGGGTTGTAGGAAATTTACCTACCCGTACTTTAGTCGAGCTCTCCCCCGGTGGGGGCCAAGGCCCGGGGCCCCTACTGGAAAAAAAACACGGCCCGGACATTACCCGGGGACCTAGACAGACAGATACCCCGTGTGTTGTTTCACGAGTATCAGTGGGGGTTATTTTTGAGGGTGCATTGTACAGGTAACACTCTCCAAAAAGGCATAAAGTGAAAAAAGGTTTTTTGTGTCAGAAGACTAGAAAAATTTTAAATTATACACAAAACTGGCTCTTTTGATTGGATTGATAGTTTTATGAAAATAAGTTAAGTGCTGTGTGTGAATCTCCACTGTTGCTGTGTTAGTTGACCCTTTTTGTTTTAGGTAGAATTAAAAGAGAAATTTTAAAATTTTTTTTTTTTCTCAGGGGAAAAACATTAAACCTTTTTTTTTTAACACACTGTAGTGGTTTTAATTTTTTTGCCCCAAAAAGGTTTCTGAAAATTAAGGACTTTATGGTTCTTTTAAATTCCCTTAGTGGCATAAAAATTTAAAAGATTGAAAGGTTTGTCCCGTAAAAGGTAAAAAAATTTAAAGTAAAATGTAATAAGTTTGTTTTTGGGTTTTAACCCAGAGGGTTAGCCACCCAGGATAACCCAAAAAAGTCGTGCTCATTTGGGGCTGTCTTGTCTTTTTTCCATGGGGGTCTTCGTCTTCCCCAGGATGTACCCACCCGTTGTTTTCACTCAGAACCCACTTATTGAAAAGGTGTACCTTTACCTTTGATGAGTTTCAGTAATCTTTCTACTCCCAGAGCCTGGCCATGGACCAGGCACAGCAGGGACAGCAGGTGCAAGGAAACATGCCAATATATTCCCCCCCGTAGGGATTTAACCCCGGACATCAGAGTTTGGCGAGAGCATTGCTAACCGCCTTGGTAGTCCTTTCTTAAGCCTCATCGAACAGACCGTTAGCCTTTATTTAAAAATTTCCCAGTTTTTTTTTTATGGGGTGATTAGGGGGGGGAAGCAAGGAGATGATTAAACTATACTGTTCTCTATTATAAACACTGACAGTGCACCTGTGGGTCTTCCATAATACTTTAGCATTTAATAGAGAACTACTGTATATTGAATTAAAAAACAGCTTTTGTGTGAGGGTGACTTACATTCTCTCTACTTCAATTGACTTAGGAAGATTGAAAATTAAGACTTCAAGGTGTAGGTTTGCTTTTTTTGCTTTAAGCTTGTAGAAAATAATGAAAAGTAATGAAAAACAGTAAAATACAAAGAAATACTTTAAATTATGCCAATGCAGTACAGTATTTTGTTGAATTATTGAGTATTGGGACTAATGTTTGGCCTAATTTGATCAGTATGTTATTTTTGGTTGTTACTTTAGCTATGCATTAAATTTTCTTTGTATAATCATTGCATGTTATTTCCCTTAGTGATTTTCTAATTTTTTTGGTTTAACTTGATTAAGGGTTATGTTTTTGGCTGTTATTTAAGCTATGTTATTTATAAATTAGGATCTGCAAATTCTGGTAATGAATTATGACTGATTTTTTTTTTTCCAGATGCTGTTTTCCTGTATTTATGTACTAAGATATTCTCTTGATAAATTATTCCTGTCTCAAGCATATATTACAGTATGGCAGAACTTAATAAACTCTTGTTTAGTCAATATGAAGGTTACCCATTTTTTTTTACCTCTTGTATTTTTAGTTTTTAATGATGGCACCGATCGGGAGTTGTTGAACCTAGATGGGACGATCCCAGTCCGTTACAAAGGTGAGGGAGCATAGTAGCAACACCACTGACATTCACATGGCTTGAGGGTTGGCAGTGTACCATCCTTGGTTTGAGAAGTACAATTTGTTGCATTTTGAGAAGTTTGAGCTGGCTATCTAGCTTATTCAAAGGGTGTGCGAGAGTGTAGTCATGAGCAAACTTCTCAAGCCTCAAGATGGACTGTCATCTTGTAAGTGGTTTATCAGCATCATTTCAAGGAAGCAGGATATTTTGTTTAGCTCCTCACCCATGGACCTTTCAATTAGTTTTGATGTGTTTCCTTCAAATGATGTCCTAGTTTCATAGATAAAGTACTGTATGTTTTGACATTTCAAGTTTAAAGGTACTTCCTCACAGCTTGTTCATTTATGTTGTGCATCAGAAAACATTCAGTACTTTATGGATTAGCAGAGTTCAAAGTTAGCACATAATACTTAGAATGCTAATCGACCTCTTGTATTTCATTTATCGTTTTAGTAACTCCATATCAGTTACTAATAATCGAAGGCATTCTGAGTATTCTTGCTTCCCTGAACAAAGCATTGTGTGTCCTGGCATTACCAAATCAACCCTCACTGTATTTTTTCTTTTTTCTTTGCAAGTATTCCGCAGTGGCACTTCACGCTACTTACTGTGTCTTGAAGGCACGATACCTGTTACGTATAAAGGTATGGTGTGGGGTGTGGCTATTTAGTTAACTTGAAGCAAGCAATAATGAACAGTATTGATCATATTTAGAGTCCATATAGACAGTCCCTCTGGAGTGTTCAGCTAGATGTGTTCATTTTAAAGAAAGAACCGAGAGCAGTCAAAATATTTCTAGTCTGTGGGGCACCTTTTGTGGCACTAAGGGTACCTTTTTTTTTTGTTGAAAATTCTTGAAAATAGCGAAGTTGAAAATTGCATGGGTCCCCCACCCTTTGTTCCCCATAATACTGCTGCTCTCCTACACCACTGTTCACCTCTACAAAGCTCTCTTGCTATCCTCTAGCCTTTGCATTTTGATATTAAATCCCTGATACATTGCATGCATAATGTATTTGATCGATGTTTTAGCATTCACGATAAATACAACCTTGCTAAGGTAATTATTTTTAACTAGTTGGGTGTAATTATGGTTTATATGGGTTCAGTTTACAGTAAACAGTGTTGTACGTAAAGATCTGCATTAATAAACACTTGTAGATGAATGGTTCACAGAGCCGACACGTTGATAAATTAGTCACATGTGCAACTCTTGGGTATCTTTATTAAGGAAACATTTTGCCACACAGTGGCTTCATCAGTCCATACACAGGAGAAGCTTGAAGAATAGGAGACGAATGAGGTAATCAGTCCCTCAACCTTGAGTCGATGTGGTCAGTCCATCACTCTTGAGTAGTCCATCAAGAGTGATGGACTGACCACATCGACTCAAGGTTGAGGGACTGATTACCTCATTCGCCTCCTATTCTTCAAGCTTCTCCTGTGTATGGACTGATGAAGCCACTGTGTGGCGAAACGTTTCCTTAATAAAGATACCCAAGAGTTGCACATGTGTCTAATTTATCAATAAACACTTATACATGATGAGAGATGTTACCAATGCTTACTTTTTCTCAAATTTATTTTTATTATTTTTTATTTGTATTATTCTACACATACAGTATATTGAACAGTATCATTAGAAAATACTTTTATTGCACATTATTTTTAAATATATATCTATACCTTGTACAGAGGCTTTAGGTAATAAAAAATTATTAAAGTTTCAACATTAAATTCCTGTACTGTTACTCTTTCATTCTTATATACTTTAACATAAGTCAGGTAAATAAAATTGCCTTTAACCCTTTGACTGTCGCAACCCCCAATCCTGAGGTGTCTCCTGGTGTCGCAAAATTTAAAAAAAAAAAAATTATTTTTTCTTATGAAATGATAGAGAATCTTTTCCCGATTGTAATGACACTAAAAAAACGAAATTTGATGGAAAACTGACGGAATTATGCTCTCACGAATTTAGCGACCTCGGCGCTGTTTACAAATCGGCGATTTCGCCCACTTTGAGCCCTATTTTCGGCTAATTCCATTGTTCCAGTCGCCCAAACTCATAGCTATTTCTTTAGAACTTCATTTTTTCTATCGATTGAATACAAGAAACTGCCCATTTACTGATTTCAACTACCTAATAATGTGGTCAGAAATTTGCAATTTGGCCAATTTCACTAAAACTAAAAAATATGACAATTTCAAAATAAGGTCCAGAATGAACAATGCAGACATTCCTGGCTCTAAAATAACATTTTCTTTGTTCATCAGTCACGTCTCCAGGCCCTTCTGATATTACTCTTGCTTTCTATTTTGAATTTTGGCATTTTAATTAAAAAAAACGGTCAGAGTTTTTTTTTTCTCATTATGCACTGCGTGCTCCAGGATTTTTTTTATATGGTGCACACTGACCACACAGACCCATTCTCTCACATGTGGGCCTACCAGCTTTCTCCTGCTTGATTTGAAGCCGCTAGAATTTATGAGGTATATATTATTAAAGTCACTTAAATTACGTACTTTATACTTCATCGAACATTTCAAAGTAGGTTAATGCTTAAACTACTTGTTAGGATGAAATGAATGGTTTATAATTTTCAATGTTATAATTCAGTTGGAGATAGCAGAAAAATTTGGACATTACTAATTACAGCGCATCTTTACCTTGTTTTATCGCATAATATCTTTCAGTCCTTTCAGGAAGAGCTGTATGACCCATAGGAGTTTTGGCATTTAACCCTTTGACTGTTTCATTCGTATATATATGTCTTACAAGGTACCGTGTTTGACGTATATATACTCATAAATTGTAGCGGCTTCAAATCAAGCAGGAGAAAGCTGGTAGGCCCACATGTGAGAGAATGGGTCTGTGTGGTCAGTGTGCACCATATAATAAAAATCCTGGAGCACGCAGTGCATAATGAGGAAAAAAACTCCGACTGTTTTTTTTTTTAATTAAAATGCCAACTTTGTGGCCTATTTTCGAATTGTATTTATGATTGTATTCTTGTTTTCTTGGTCTCATTTGATAGAATGGAAAAGATGTTATAGAAATAGAGGTGATTTTGATTGGTTTTACTATAAAAAGAACCTGGAATTAGAGCTCAGAGTAGGGGATTTTTGCTGATGTTCAAAAGTAAACAAATGATGTGATTGTCCAATAAATGTCCAAGTAGCCATTCTGATATGCAGTCATGAATGGGTTGACATTATTTGTATAATTATTACAGTATTGCAGGAGTCTGCATAACAGTAAATCTTATATTTTTTGTTTGAATAAAAATTCAAAATAGAAAACAAGGGTAATATCAGAGGGGCCTGGAGATGTGACTGATGAACAAAGAAAATGTTATTTTAGAGCCAGGAATGTCTGCATTGTTCATTCTGGCCAAATTGCAAATTTCTGACCACGTTGTTGGGTAGTTGAAATTGGTAAATGGGCAGTTTCTTGTACTCAATCGATAAAAAAAAATGGAGTTCTAAAGAAATAGCTATGAGTTTGGTCGACTGGAATAATGGAATTAGCTGAAAATAGGGCTCAAAGTGGGCGAAATCGCCAATTTGTAAATATCGCCGAGGTCACTAACTTCGCGAGAGCGTAATTCTGTCAGTTTTCCATCAAATTTATTTTTTTTGGTGTCATTACAATCGGGAAAAGATTCTCTATCATTTCATATGTTTTTTTTTTTTTTTTTTTTTTTGCGACACCAGGAGATACCTCAGGATTGGGGGTTGCGACAGTGCAGGTACTACTACTCAGGAAGTGGGGGAGCCTGGGTAGTGATGATGGCATACATGTTACTACTTGAGTTTATTAGTTTAGGTTAGCTGTTGATAGAGTTCATTTACTCTGGCATAGTGGCAAAAAATTTGTTAGCTCATTTTGAGATGAATTTTTATTTAATTAAAACTGAAAGTTGCATTGGGGATTTTCGTCTTTCCATATACAGCACTGTACCCTTTAACCCTTTCAGGGTCGACAGGCCCTCTCCCAGACTTACCAGGGTCGACAAATTTTCCAAAAAAAAAAAAAATTATTTTTTCTCATGAAAAGATAGGGAATTTTTTCCCGATCATAATGACACCAAAAATGTGAAATTTGATGAAAAACTTACGGAATTATGCTCTCACGAAGTTAGCGGTCTCGACGATGTTAACGCATCGGCGATTTTACCCACTTTGAGCTTTATTTTCGGCCAATTCCAGTGTACTAGTCAACAAAAATCATAATTATTTCGCTAAAACTCCATTTTTTGCTATCAAATGAGTACAAGAGACCACCTATTTACCGATTTCAACTATCCAATAAAGTGGTCAGAATTTAGCAATTTTGCCAATTTCACACAAATTTCAAAAGATGCCAATTTCCAAATAGGGTTCAGAATAAACAAGAAAGACATTTCTGGCACTAAAATAACATTTCCTCTGTTCATTAGTCATATCTCCAGGCCCCTCTTACATTCTTTTGCTTTCCACTTTGAATTTTTATTCTCACAAAAAATAGAAGATATACTGTTATGCAGACTACTGCATTAGTGTAGAAATAGTATAAATAATATCAGCGCACTTGTGAAAAAATATTAGACTCGCCAGTTGACGTGTATTGGACGTGTAGCATGATTTGTTTACTTTTGAACTTTGGCAAAAATTGAAGATTTCTGCTACTTTGAGCTCAATTTTAAGGTACTTTTCATTGTAAAACCACTTAAAATCGTCTCAATTTCTGTAATATGTCTTCCGTTCTATAAAATGAGACCAGGAAAACTAGAATACCATCATAAATACCATACGAAAATACAGTGCAAAGTCGCTGTTTTAAACCAAAAACACTATCGAAGTTTTTTTTTCTCATTACGCACTGTGTGCTGCAGGATTTTTTTTTATACTGCACACACTGACCACATAGACCACCCATTCTTTCATATGTAGGCCTACCAGCTTTCTCTCACTAGATTTGAGGGCGCTAGGATTTAGGCGTACTAGTACATCAAAAACCCTGGTGTGTAAGCCGTACTAGTACGTCAGAAACCCTGAAAGGGTTAAAAGAATAGATTCTAACTACAGTTTTAATTTGGGGACACTACAGTGACGATCTTTAGAAAATACTTAGAATATCTCTTATTTGCTCCAGTAATATCAGTTGTCTCTTTTTTTAAGTGGGTTTAGCACTCCCCATGATAATAACAATACTCTCTTTTAAATCCTCACAATTATTACAATATATTTTATTCTTTAAAGTTGTTGTAGTTGTGCTCATCCCACTTCAGTAAAGTAGAAGATCAAGTGTGTGTGACCTCATTACCTTGCATGCCAGTTCCCTTCTGTTTTGTAAAGTTACAGTAGAATACTCTTAGTGGGGAAAATGCTGCATAATTTCTGTAAGAGATAAATCATTCATGAAAGTCTAAGTTTTGTGCATTGGAAAGAGATAACAGTTTAGGTACTTTAGAGAGGGAGATAAGATTGCATTATTAAATTATAAATCTTGAAGTGCTGTTGGAGTGTGAGCAAGGTAACATCTGTGAAAGGATTCAGGGAAGCTGGTTAGCCAGACTTGAGTCCTGGAGGTGGGAAGTACAGTGCCTGCATTCTAAAAGGAGGGGTGGGAATATTTGCAGTTTGGAGGGGCATCTGAACTGTGGTATCTACATGCCTCTGGCATGACTGTGATGGAGTGAATGATGGTGAAAGTATTTCTTTTTTGGGTCACTCTGCCTCGGTGTGAGATGGCCAGTGGGTTAAATAAAAAATTCAAGGAGATTGAATGATAGTGAATGTGGTTCTTTCTTTGAGTCAGCCTGCCCACAGCAGGCTGACTTAAATATCTTTGGCATGTCGTAAGCACCTGAGAGTGAATATCTTAGCCACTAGCTGTGTTGCTTTATACAGGAAGTCCTCAACTTACGAAGACATTGGGACCTCCTGAATTGTGTATAATATTGATAATACAGGAAATCTTCAACTTATGAACATGTTGGGGTTCTTCTGTACTGTGTATAATAATGATTTTATACACAGTAATGATATATTAATGATATTATACACAATACACAAGATTCTCAGCATATTTGGGAGTCAAGGACTTACTGGATAAGTGATGTGGCAACAGATGTATTATCTAGTGGTAAATATAGTGCAGTGTAGTATGTATGTGTAAGATTTTTATCTGCCTAGTTGAAACAATGCATAACATCCACCTTGTACCTATTTAGACTATGCTGCTCAGTTCTGGCCACCGTATTACAGAATGGATATAAATGCTCTGGAAAACGTACAGAGGAGGATGACAAAGATGGTCCCATGTATCAGAAATCTTCCCTATGAGGATAGACTGAGGGCCCTGAATCTGCACTCACTCGAAAGGCATAGAATTAGGGGGGATATGATCGAGGTGTATAAATGGAAAACAGGAATAAATAAAGGGGATGTAAATAGCGTGCTGAAATTTCCAGCCAAGACAGGACTTGCAACAATGGTTTCAAGTTGGAAAAATTCAGATTCAGGAAGGATATAGGAAAGCACTGGTTTGGTAATAGTTGTGGATGAGTGGAACAAACTCCCGAGTACAGTTATTGAGGCTAAAACGTTGTGTAGTTTTAAAAATGGGTTAGATAAATACATGAGTGGGTGTGGGTGGGTGTGAGTTGGACCTGACTAGCTTGTGCTGCTGGGTCTGGTGCCGTGCTCCATCCTTGAGTGGAGGTGACCAGACTGGGTGGGTCATTGGGCTAATTCAGGGGGGGGGGGACATGGACCTGCTCCGCATGGGTCAGTAGGCCTGTTGCAGTGTTCCTTCTTTCTTGTGTTCTTATGTTCTAAATATCGTCACCTCACAAGTTAGTGGTAATTGCTTATGTTCACTGAAGAGAACTTGGAGTATTTTCTAATTTATCAAATAGCTTGATTACTCTGCTTAAAAAAACATTTTAGAAAAATGACTTTAGGTAAATAATACACTTGACTGTGTAGGCTCTCATGCTTGTGGGATCAGATCTGGTGTTTGTAAAATCCTTAACATAAATGCACATGTAATAAAGAAGTGATAATCATGAAATATAGTCTATAGTACTCTAGATATGAATACTGTGTGTGTGTGTGTGTGTGTGTGGTAGTATTTTTAAAGTGGATCCCAATTAACAAACAATGGTTGGTAATGTGATTAGATAATATCTATTTGTGGTCATTTGCAAGTAGTGTGTTTCCTAATATTTTTTTTCATGAATTGATGCTTGTTTAGCTACTGAAGTTTGGGGCAAGAAGTGTAAAATTAATTTGTTGATAATTATTTCTTGAGCTTGAGTCTGTCTGCGTTAATGCTCTCTCCGATTTGCTTTTCCAGGTGAAATTTTCTGCATGAGCTTTAGATATTTTGACTGCTGAGGCCATTGAGGACCTTTGTGTTTTTTTAACAAGTTTGACTTGCAATGTGGGCTAATTGCTTTGCTACAGCTAACATTGTTTAAGGCATGCCTTTTTTTATTTTTTATAATTTATGATTTATTGTATTGAAAATTAATATAAGTATAATATTTTACCTGGAGTTTTGTGATTTAACCCCTTCACTCCATTGACATGCTTGATGTCAAAAAAAAAAAAAAATCCTATAAATAGTCTATAAATAGTACTTTGGCATAGCTGGTACATGAGTTTGGATCATTTCCCTGAGTAATGCAATCATCCTCTGTCAACACAAGGAGCTTTACTTGCCGAGGATATGCTACTGGCATTATGTAGGCTTCACCCGACCCCTCTATTGCCTGCCAATCAGGTGTTTTGTTCCCCAGTTACCCTCCTCCTCCTCCCTCCAACACTTATCACAACACCCCTTGTGCATCAGTGTTTTTTTATTTTTTTTTAATTAGAGTAGCAAGATGAAAAGTACTGAACTGTCAGTAACACCGAATTGGTATTAATTAGCAAATATATAACATGGATGTGAAGTTTGGTAAATCACACAAAAATCAATTTTGCACCCTTCGAAGGGGGTGCTATGGCAGTGGTGGTGAAGAGCTCTTGATTCAAGGAATTGGAGCTATCCTCCCCTTCCTCAGATCAGACTTAATTACCTCCCATTCCCCTTTGGGCTCAGCGCTTCCTCTTGTTTATAGATTCTGGGCAAAATTTTCATATCTGCACAGTATTTCAGACAAGCTGAACACTTTAGCCTAAGGATTGAATTATATTTCATCCAACTGGTTGCTAAGTGAGGAAACACTGTTCAGACTTAGACAAATATCAGTACAATAATTAGTTATATACACAGGTACTGTATACAGTGAAACCTTTGTACTATGGACTTTTGAGGGGCAGTAGTGTCTACTTAAATGAAAATCTGTTGTCTTGAAGTTCTCTATGCAGTGGACTAGGCCTGTTGCATTGATACTACTGGTCACAGACAAATGCCCCGTGCAATAGACGTAGCCCACTGCACTGATGACATGGCCAGACATGCAGTATAAGTTAAAACTTCAATACACTACAATGACAAAAATATGTACAGTACTTTGTATTATAATGTAGTAATGAAAAAACAGTTAAATTCATGGAAAATTGGAGACCAAATGAAAATAGTATGTGGGCATTCATAGACACAAACAAACTGATAGGAGCTGGGCTGATGGCGCCATGGACATGGCGAGTGGCCTTGTGGACATGACCAGTGGCCCTGTGGACATGGCCAGCTCTGGACAAACCTGCAGTGCAGCAGACTTGGTTTGCTGCATCGATGGTACTACTGGACACCTCTCGTACAGACAACCATGAGATGCAACAGACTTGGTCTGCTGCATCAATGATTTTACTAGATACCTCCCACATACACAGACTTACCATGCTATTGTTTGGCCAAAAATGTTTCTTATAAGTAACTGAAATCTGTTGCATAGTGGGCCATCGTACTGAGGTTTTACAGTAATACACAGTAGTTACGTATTTCTGTACTTATATTACATGTAAATTACAATCATTAATGTGGTTGCTGACCCATGAAGAAAGGGATAATAATAGTAATAATAATGTGGATGCCACATTGTACTGGACTTGGGAAATTGTGTTGTTGGCATTGTGTAAGCACCAACCTCAACCTGTCAGTAATTAGTCTTGTGTTTTATATCGCATACCCCTACCACCCAGTCGCTAATACCCCTTTCCCCATTTTGCATGAGTTTCGGCATCTTCCATACCCTGGGGACCACCAGTTGTAAACTAACAGATGAGATTCGGCTGTGATCATTTTTCTCGTTGGGAACTTACGAACTGGAGAGCGAATGCGATATGTATACTTTATTAATGATGGCAGATATATCCCACACTGTAGCATAACATGAATGGAGAGGCTTTATCAGTGAATATGACACTCGTGGAATATTTTGCACGACGGAGCGAAGGGGTTAAATTCATCATATTTTATGTATGTACTGTAGTTCATTTTTCTTTATCTGATCCCACTTTAGTTTTTATTTTTTTTACTGTTATGCATGGTGCTAATAATATAGTCAGGGATACAAGAAGCAAAGCACACAGTAAATTAAATTTCCTGATGGAGAACCCTGTCAAGGATACAAATTTTTGTTAGCATGACATGTTTTTATGTAAAGAGAAATTCTGAATTGAAAGTTTTTAGGCTTGTTCTTTTCCACTTGATCAATTTATTAGGCACAACTAGTGTGAATTAAAATTTATTTTTAAGACTTGTAAATTTTCACAGAAACCTGAGTCAGACCAAAACTTGCATAAACATAAACTAATTTTAAAGCATTGCAAATAGTTTTAATTGTTAATTATAAAGTGGTGGATGAGTATATTATAAAAGCACTTTATATATACAGGTGCAGTTTACAATATTCCAATCTGCATATGGCTGTTGGACAACCATCCGCTCTCCTCTCCCATGGTTTATGTGAAGCCGACTCCAGACATGCTCATCAAGGCCTCTCGGCATGTCGACCAGAATGGAAAAGTTTATCTTCCCTACTTGCATGAATGGAACTTGGTAAGGGCAAGATTGTCTCAAAAATGGTATAAATCTTGGTAATTGGTTTAAAACAACACATGATCAAACACTGGGACATATTTCACAGACAATGTTTCAGTCCTGGGACCTTGATTGAGGTCCCAGGATTGGAATATTTTTTAATAAGTCTGTCCTAATGTTTGCTTACATGTCTGAAGAATATGTGTAGTGGTGGAAATGACTTTTCAATTCTGCCATTAAAACTACCCAAATTTTTTACTGTGATCATCAGATAAAGATTCCCAGGTTTTTCACTCATGTCTAATTCTTCATCTTGTGGGTATTGTGTACCTGGAGATTTACCTGGAGAGAGTTCCGGGGGTCAACGCCCCCGCGGCCCGGTCTGAGACCAGGCCTCCTGGTGGATTGTGTACCATTCATTTGCAACCTTTTCTTAATACTGTATATTTTGTATATCTCACTGTTGTATGGTAGTGCATAAGTTTCATGAAGAATGATTAATAATAACCCTGGGCTAAATATAATGATGTTCATTGTAAAGTATTTTGCTCTTGGGAAGTCATGTTACCTTGATGGAGCTAAATCACCACTTTAAAATGCCCCTCATCACAACACCTCTACCTTCTTTTGGGCCCTGTCCTCCATCATCATCCTCATGAGTGTGCTCGGTTATCTTGGAGCAATGATTATCATTTTAAATTCCCCTTTGGCTGGATTTGTAATTTTTTTTTTTAACAAGTTGGCCGTCTCCAACCGAAGTAGGGTGACCCAAAAAGAAAGAAAATCCCCAAAATGAAAATACTTTCATCATCATTCAACACTTTCACCTCACTCATACGTAATCACTGTTTTTGCAGAGGTGCCAAGAACACAACAGTTTAGAAGCATGTACACATAAAGATACACAACATATCCCTCCAAACTGCCAATATCCCAAACTCCTCCTTTAAAGTACAGGCATTGTACTTCCCATTTCCAGTACTCAAGTCCGGCTATATAAAAATAACCGGTTTCCCTGAATTTTTTTTTTTTTTCTCGACAAGTCGGCCGTCTCCCACCGAGGCAGGGTGACCCAAAAAGAAAGAAAATCCCCAAAAAAAAGAAAATACTTTCATCATCATTCAACACTCACTTCACTTACACATAATCACTGTTTTTGCAGAGGTGCCCAGAATACAACAGTTTAGAAGTATATACGTATAAAAATACACAATATATCCCTCCAAACTGCAAATATCCCAGACCCCTCCTTTAGAGTGCAGGTATTGTACTTCCCATTTCCAGGACTCGAGTCCGGTTATATAAAATAACCGGTTTCCCTGAATCCCTTCACTAAATATTACCCTGCTCATACTCCAACAGCTCGTCAGGTCCCAAATACCATTCATCTCCATTCACTCCTATCTAACACGCTCACGCACGCTTGCTGGAAGTCCAAACCCCTCGCCCACAACACCACCTTTAATCCCTCCCTTCAACCTTTTCAAGGACGACCCCTACCCCGCCTTCCTTCCCCTACAGATTTATGTGCTCTCCATGTCATTCTACTTTGATCCATTCTCTCTAAATGACCAAACCACCTCAACAAACCCTCTTCAGCCCTCTGAATAATACTTTTATTAACTCCACACCTTCTCCTAATTTCCACACTCGGAATTTTCTGCATAATATTTACACCACACATTGCCCTTAGACAGGACATCTCCACTGCCTCCAACCGCTTCCTCGTTGCAGCATTTACAGCCCAAGCTTCACACCCATATAAGAGTGCTGGTAGTACTATACTTTCATACATTCCCTTCTTTGCCTCCATAGATAACATTTTTTGCCTCCACATATATCTCAATGCACCACTCGCCTTTTTTCCTTCATCAATTCTATGATTAACCTCATCCTTCATAAATCCATCCGCTGACATGTCAACTCCCAAATATCTGAAAACATTCACTTCTTCCATACTCCTCCCCATTTTGATATCCAATTTTTGTTTATCTAAATCATTTGATACCCTCATCACCTTACTCTTTTCTGTGTTCACTTTCAACTCTCGTCCTTTACACACACTCCCAGATTCGTCCACTAACCTTTGCAATTTTTCTTCAGAATCTCCCATAAGCACAGTATCATCAGGAAAAAGTAACTGTGTCACTTCCCATTATGTATTTAATTCCCCATAATTTAATCCCACCCCTCTCCCGAACACCCTAGCATTTACTTCTTTTACAACCCCATCTATAAATATATTAAACAACCATGGTGACATTACACATCCCGGTCTAAGACCTACTTTTACCGGGAAGTAGTCTCCCTCTCTTCTACACACCCTAACCTGAGCCTCACTATCCTCATAAAAACTCTTTACAGCATTTAGTAACTTACCACCTATTCCATATACAGTGGATCCCCGGTTATCGGCCAACTCGGTTATCGGCCGGTTTTTCAGCGCCCTGTTATCGGCCGTTTGCTCGGTTATCGGCCATTAGGGACACGTCCATCTGCCGGTTGGGGCTGCTTGCGCATTAGTTTGGCTTTGCCTCTCGGTGGCTGAGGAAGCTTCTGCTTATACATCCAAACATTTTGCTTATTTCCCAATGTAGTTTGTGTTATTTTTCAGTGCAACTGTGAAATAAGGAACCATGGCTCTAAAGAAAGTTCCTGTGGCAAAGAAAGTGAGAAACACCGTGGAATTTAAGTGTGAAGTGATACAAAAGTTTGAAAGTGGTATGAAGGTGGTGGAACTTGCCAGGATGTACAGCAAGAATAAATCAACAATTACATCCATCATGGCAAAGAAAGAACAAATCAAAGATGCTAATGTAGCAAAAGGAGTAACTTGTCTAATTAAACAAAGGCCACCAATAATGGAAGAGATGGAAAACTTATTATTATTGTGGATTAAGGAAAAAGAATTAGTGGGAGACAGTGTTGTGGAGTCTATTATTTGTGAGAAGAAAAGGCAGTTGCATGAGGATCTTTCAAAGAAAATGCCTGGAACAAGTGCTGCAGTTTGTGAATTTAGGGCCAGCAAAAGATGGTTTGATAGATTTACGAAGCGTATTGGCATACACAGTGTTGTAAGGCATGGTGAGGCTGCAAGTTCTGACAAATGTGTGGCTGAAAAATATGTTCAAGAATTCCAGGACTATGTAAAGGCTGAAGGATTCGAAACCCAACAAGTGTTCAATTGTGACGAAACAGGCCTGTTTTGGAAGAAAATGCTAAACAGGACCTACATTACCCAGGAGGAAAAGGCACTGCCAGGACACAAGCCTATGAAAGACAGGCTTACTCTTTTATTGTGTGGTAATACTAGTGGGGATTTCAAAGTGAATCCTTTACTCATGTATCACTCAGAAAATCCCAGAGTGTTCAAGAAAAACAGTGTCATGAAAAATAGATTGTGTGTGATGTGGAAAGTTAATCATAAGGCATGGGTCACAAGGCAAATTTTCAAAGAGTGGGTTAAAGATGTGTTTGGCCCATATATGAAAAAATACCTCCTGGAAAAGAAATTGCCACTCAAGTGCCTCCTGTTACTGGACAATGCTCCTGCATATCCTCAAGACTTGCAAGACCGAGTGTTTAGGGACTTCAGTTTCATCAGTGAAGTTCTTGCCTCCTACCACCACTCCTCTCCTCCAGCCCATGGACCAGTAGATCATTTCTAACTTCAAAAATCTCTACACAAAAGCAGTGTTTTAGAAGTGCTTTGAAGTGACATCACACTCAGTTGACCCTAAGACAGTTCTGGAGGAATCACTTCACTATCCACTGCATAAGCCTTATAGGTAAGGCTTGGGAGGGAGTGACTTCCAGGACTTTGAACTCTGCTTGGAGAAAACTGTTGCCAGATTGTTTCCAAAAATGGGATTTTGAAGGGTTTGAGGCTGACCCTGACACTGCCGACCCTGTGGACTCTATTGTGGCACTGGGGAAGTCCCTGGGGTTGGAGGTGAGTGGCAAGGATGTGGAAGAGT